AAAAAAAAAAAAAAAAAAAAAACTGTGATATTGAACCGACCAACCCAATGAATTTGGAATTGAACTAAACCTCTCATTCACCTTACTGACATGCAATTGAATATGCAAAAGCAAATGCATGCACCTTCATTGTTATATGCACTCAACAAATGTACTTACAAAAATTAAAATACACGCTCCCACACCTTCACATATACACAAAAAAATATAGAGTTATCCTGAAAGACTGGGATGCTGAATGAATTACTTTAGAGTTACATTGCCTATTTTCAAAATTAAAAAAAAAAAAAATTACTTTGGAGTATGGGACAATGGTGCAGAACCATATATAAATGCATCTATTCTCTGCTGCATAACTCATTAATTGTGCTACTCCCTAAATATGCATCACTTCCCTCACAGAGCAGCAATTCCTCTGGATTCTGTGGAACCTTCCCCTGCCGACACTTTCCTAGCTCATCAGTCTTCACTTTTTCTTTTTTTACTCGAAGTCATACATTTCATCTTGAAATGCTGAAATGTGTCAGCAAGGAAAGAAGACTCGCCAGTGTAGGACTTTATCAAAGTATCTAAGCAGCCAGACAAATGGGAGTATACTAAATATGCAATGTACTGAGAAACAAAAATCATTCTTCTTATGCACTTGGGCTTTTGAATTTAGTGGTGTCATGTTCTGTATAAGTGTATTTTTTCATCCTCAAACAACAATTCGAATCCGACTTTTTACAAATTTGTTCAAAAAAAAAAATCATTCTCCTTATAATGAAGTATCTTACCATCTTTGCTCAATATATATATGGGTTAAATTTTCTCTTAATTTGATTATGAAGAGACATGATCTAACATGAATGAATTAGCAATAAATCTAATTCAAGAAGGATAGAATAATGAAGGATTTTTTTAATTTGTATAAGAAAATGTAAAAGTAAAGTTAATGTTACATGAATAACTTTAATTAGATAATTAATAAATTAAATGTAATTTTTTATTATTTTAAGACTCTTAATTTATATTTTTAAGACACAAATTAAAAAACCAATAATTAAAGGAAAGGGAGTGTCAAATTTCAAGTGTTCACATTGCTCATTAAATGCCTTCTATAGGAATTGTAGCCAAGCACATGAACATGATATGATAGTGGGGGAGGTGGAATAACTTTTATCTAGTTAATTGTTTGCCCTATTAAAGTAATGCTTTATTTTGTGAAATATGTTGAGTTGCTGAGGAGGATAACTAGGCAAGAGGGGCATTTAAAAATTTTTGGAACCAAGAGTTTCCAAGTCAACTTAGAATCTAGCACATCCATCCTAGGAAAGGAGAAGGAAGATGAGCTTACCAAGAAAACTACAAAGAATTATATCTTATATCCATGATGAATGCACACTCATGTTTTTTGGCAAGATATTGTCATTTTTTTCTTTTTCTTTTTTTTACCAATAAATTTATGGGGTAACTTAAACTAAAATCTTCTATTTGTGAAACATCTGAATTTAATAATTTTTATTATATATAAATTCATAATTTGGTGCTTTTACATAAATTTTATTTTTTTATGGGAAAGAGAAACTCATTAACAAATTTAAAAATTACAAGGATAATAAATTGGGGAAAACAATTGCACACCAAGTATCCCTATCCAATCCTATAGTCTTGCTAGGCTGCAATTAATGAACTCTTCTTACATATCTCAAAAGAAAACCAATAGGCACAAAAGCTACAGCTAGGCCTAATTTTACTTCTAAATTAGAACTAACTTCAAAATTTTACGCAATATGCATGCTTTCTAAGCAGGTTTACAGGCAAGTCAAAGAAAGATACCAACCGCTAGGTTAAACATGAGTTTTGGTGCAACATTCTATTGTACCAACTACCTACAATAACTTTCTTTTTGAATATATATTTGTTTCATACTTTAGTTAGGTGCCACCACAACTAACCATTTGATGGTTCGATCATGTTTCCCTATCTTTAACAGTGTAATGTAAAGAGGAAAAGATGGTGTTTTTAAAGATGCTGTTCCTGCATTACTGCAATTAAAAATCTAAAATCCCAAAAAGAGAGGAGAAAACTAAAAAGGGGATGTTGGTGTTGGTTTCTTCATTTACTCAGTTGCAGGACCTGAAACTTTACAGGTCAGATCTCAGTGCATATGCAAAATTGTGCCATAAAAAATTGGATTAAATGTGTTAGTTTGTGACTGTAGATGCAGCTTTTCTACCACAGGGCAAGGTTGGTAAAAGGCGAAAAAGCCATTAATTACTTGGGGATTTTGACTGTCCAAAGACATCATGAGGTTGAACAGCCCTTTGGAAGTAGGGTAAAAAATGGGGAAATCACTTGGGGGTTAGGGAGACTTTCCATCTGTGTCAAACTGTAATGATTTATTCACACACATATACAGGCCTTTTGCTTTCAACTATACAAAATCCTGTTCCAACCCTCCTTCATGTTATGTGCTTGTGCTCATGATTTTGGGTCCAAATGCTCAAATTTGGGTTTTGGGATTTTGAAAAGTATCTGTATTTAAAGCTCCCCACCAACACCAACCTGGAAGGCTGGAAGCCATCTCAGGGAGCAGTTAAAGGAACATGGTCAATTAGGCAGAGAGACACATTGGTACTCAACTTTCAAAAACAACCCTAGATGCTGTTAAGCACAATATTAAAGGAAGTTTGCATACATGGACATGGAGATTGGGGCACCAATTATTTTCATACATCAGCATCTAAAGTTTGGGCGGTGATATAGGACAACTTTTTGTATGCTTTTTTACATAATTTTTATATATTATTAAATAAATAAATACATTTAATATCATAAGTTTTAAAAAAATAAAAAAATTCAATTATTTAAATGACTCATAAAATTATACAAAAAATTCAATTATTTAAATGGCTCGTAAAATTATACAAAAAAGTGGTAAAAAAAGTTTTCCCTAAATCATTTTTCCTAAAGTTTTAACCCAATTCAGAGACCCCAGAGGCATATAGAAATTGCAGATTGGATATTCATGTCGATTTTTAAATACCATCATAAACTACTACGTGGGCGGGGGAGAAGGAATAGAGAGGGGTCAAACAAGTTTCAGCAATTATGGGCATTCAGAATGAAAGATTTGAAAATTTCACTTAGCTGCTCTCATCAGACATCAAAGAGAGGGATGAGCAAAATAAAAGATGCCAATCTCTATTCATGAACTTTTGGTAACTGATAAGACAATTTCCTGGTTACATTTGGTTTTTAGGATGCCACCATGAATCCAAATTCCAAAAACAGAATCAAATGCCACCATCACCCCATTTACTCTCTACTGCTTCTGATATCCATATCCAGCACAAGCCATCTTCCTTCCAAACCCAGAAACACTTCATGTAAAACAACCACACCAGGAATCACAAATCAAGAAAAATTAACATCAACAAACCAGAGATTAGTGTCAAAGTCACACCGGGGTGCAGCAGTACCCTCCACTACCACGGCCAAATTCACTATACCATGAGAATTAGTAAAACTATTGGAAAAGGTCAACAGTTACAAAAACTTCACCACCCTCCTTCTAGAATGGAAGGTAACCTAAAAATAACCTCCATTAGCTATATCCTTACTGGAGAACTGAGCTCCAACTCCTCAGTTGGATTCTGCGTTGAGTATAAAAATTCAACTAGGTCTTGGTGAGATCCAGTGAATGATTATGCCCTATTTACAGATTAATAGAGGCATAGACCAAAGTCCAAAAATATGACATGACTCCTACCTTATCACTTCTAATTCCAAAAATATGACATGGCTCCTAGCTTATCACTTCTAATGGATTAGTCAGCTAATACCGTCAAACCAATATGAACAATGACCTTAATTTCTGATCTTAGTCTTGTTAAACTTCCATCTTCCAAATCATGTTGTTGGTGCTGCAATCATGTGCTTTTTCCAGTGCAGCAACTTTGGCCTGGTGCGCTGCTAAAGCAA